ACACGTGCCGTTTTGTTGTCCCCCCCAGCCTGTGACAGGGCTTGTCGTGACACGTGCCGTTTTGTTGTCCCCCCAGCCGGGCTGGGGGGGCACGGGGCAGCCGGGGGGGCCCCAGCCTGTGACAGGGCTTGTCGTGACACGTGCTGTTTTGTTGTCCCCCCAGCCGGGCTGGGGCGGCACGTGGCAGCCGAGGAGCCCCGGGGGGCGGTTGGATGCCGCCGCACGTCCCACGCTGGTTCTGCCAGGGGCGTCTCCCCCTCACCAGCAGCACTGGCGGCATCGTATGGAAAACGGATTTGTGGTTAATGGCCTTGGATAGTTAAGGTTAAATGATTTCAATATCCTCAGAAGTGACTTATCCGAAGCCCCCCGGCAAAGCCAGGAATAGAGCGTGGGCATAACATTGCAACCCAGAGCGCGATTCCCTAGTTCGCGTGGCTTTAGTGGTGAAGCTGTTCCGTACTGTATTACCTGAGTAGGTTTGGGACGTTCCTCTGCTGCCTTATCTGCCTGAAACACCTCCCGTGGTGCATGTCTGTCTCTCTCCATATTCTGATAAGTAGATTCATATAAATAAATATACCGTCTGTTTGTTTCAAAGAACAGGGTGTGTTTTCTGCTTCACTGATGTGGAGCTTTTCTGAAATACAGGCCAGTGACTTTCAAAACTTCAAAGCCTGCTTTTTTCTTCTGACTGGAAGCAAATACAAGACAACCCATCCTGAACTCCAGTTAAAAATAACCTGCCACTGGGGATGATGTCGAAGCGTGAAGCGGAGTTTTGAAAGTGCTGAGGGCTTCAGGCAGCTTCAAGGGGGAGTTACTGTGAGCCTTGAGCTGATGAGGTGAGTGGGGACTGGATTCACAAGTATTTCCATGGCCTCTGTACGGGGACTGCTGAAACTCGGAAGAGGAAGATTAACAAAAGCTAATCAGAGTTCTGACAGAAATGTTTTTCCGCTGGAATTTCACCAGCATTGATAGCTCTGTAGAGGACATCAAGATTTAGTAAGCTGTGCAAACTTGGAGATAAACCTGCTTTGTTGCATTTTTCTTATGTATTCTGAGGTGCTAAAGACATAAGTTGGCTTTGAATACACATCCTGTAAAACACAGATATTGTTCACCATAGATAGCCATGCGTGAGTCATGAGATTCCAAGAGTTGGATAATTGTCACATACAGCGAGGATCAAAGGTACACAGATACATCTATTGCATAACACCATATATGGAGTGTTTTGAACATGTCTTTGTGATTAATTGCAAAGATTAAGATATAACAGAAATAGTTTGTCAAGTTAATTCAGGATCCTCAAAGTTTTCCCCTTAAGAGAAAATTCTGAACAACCTGAAAAAACATCCTGCAGGTGTAACTGTTCTTTATAGTGACTGTGAAAGTAACATTGTTTGGCATTAGGTTTCCCTGTGACTTCTGAACAAAGCTGGTAACCTTGTTGAAGTAGAAAGCTATTTTTTTCTCTACGTGTGTAATCTCTAAGCTTGATCTTAATGAGAAAGTCAAATTATTTTATCTTCTGTCACATTCACTAGTGCCAAAACTAAATGCATTTAGATATGTGTGACTTAATTGCTTTCTAGTTTGCTGGTATCATTGATAAACTTAAAGGTTTTGTAACTAGTCAATCTTACCTTCTTACCCATAATTTTTAATTTTGATTGAGAAGAGGAAGACTTGTATTTTATATTTCCTAAATATTCCTCACGCTTGAATGAATTAATAAATTGAACCAAACTGAAATGAAAAGAGTATTCTCTTTGTGGAATTACGGTTGTCAGCTGCACAGGTACAGGTTCTCAGCATTTATCCAGTGACTTCCTATAGTCCTGCTAAAACTTTAAGCAGAGAAAGATTGACATCTTGGATAAGGCTTTCTTTTATTTCATCTGATTTTAGCCATACAGTCTTAAGTTTGACCATAGTATGCTTTCTCATTATTTTAAATTTTAAGCTGTTTATCTTGCAGAGAAAATAATTTAAGTTTTATTTTAAAATAATTTAAAAATTAAAACAAACAAACAAAAAACCCAACCACAAAAACCTCAACAATTTATTTGTATTAAGCTTGAGGAGAATATTCTTCTGCAATAGTTATACCCTCGCCCAGCCATCTATAGATTCACAGTTGTTCCTCAGTACTTTGTCTGTAATTCAAAACCAGATCCTGCGAATATTAATGCTATGAGGATAATAAATAGAGTAAATAATAACATCGAGGAGAAGGAATATCTTAATAGATGTTATGTATTAAAAATTTGTAGCGTAAACTTCATCATTTCATTATAATTAATAATTTTATCATTTTTTTCTTAACTTCCCTCTTGATCTATCTTCTTTCTAGAAACATTTTTTACAACAGTGATGAGTTCTTGTAATATTTTAAATAAAGACAAACAATGTTTATTTTCATTATATTTAATAAGTTGGAGTGAGTGGCATAGAATTTGCAGATGCTGTCTTCATGTAAAGTTACTGCAGATAATCATACAGTGCCTTCTGTATTTATTTGAAAGGGTAAGAGCCCTTTTCATGTGGAAAAAAAGGAAAGTGCTATTGTCATAAAATTGCTGGTCTAATCTGAGGATCCTTGCCCTCCCCCTGTCCATACACCCCACCCCACCCCATACCAGTAACTGTTTCAGTACCGCTGCCTCCCACAAATATTGAAAAAGTTAAAATAACTCTTTGCACATAGACCTCGTTTTACTTTCAAATAATTTGCTGAATGAGATTTTTTTAATGTATTTGCAGGTACAGAAGCAAAATGTTTGTTTTACAATCAGGAGGTTATATTTCTTAATCACTATGGAAACACTGATGAACGGACCAATGCATTTTTATCAGTTTGGTAAGTTGCCTGTACCTTTATATTGCAAGAGAAGTAGTACTGCTCATACTTCAGTAACGCAGGAGTGCTACTGAAAAAAAGATACCATCATCTTCTTATGGAGCCCTCCCTGGAATAATTCACAGAATCAAGAATGTGGTGTATTATATTCTACATACTCCATTCTATACATAAACCATGGTGTTCCCATAAGAAAGAAATGCTTTGGAACAGCATACTCCATTCTGCCTCTCTAAATGTCTAGTGAACTCTTAGAGGGATGTGTTGGTTTTGATTTCTTGTTCTAATTTTTTTCAGGAGTCTCAGTTTCTGGATTAGCAGGCACAACAAACAGTTTGTTGGCTGAGCTGTTGTTGTGAGAAACTCTTTTGATAGGCTCATTTAATTCTGTAAAAAGGATAAGATGGTGAAGAATATTCCCCATTCAGTTTACAGACCGTTTTAATTTTCCCAGTTATTTAGTCTATGTTTTTGGTTTGGGTTGGTTTTTTTTTTTGGCTGGGCTGTCTCTCTTAGGTAAGAGCATAACCCACAAAATTTTGCAACTCTCCAACTATCTTTGCTAAACATGTTTGTTGAAGCAAAGTTCTGAGGCAGTTTGAACTCTAGATAAATGGAATTTGATTTTTATATGGGAGAGGCCTTTAAAAATCACAGATATGGAAAGAATAGAAAAACATGTCAACAGGAAATACATCATCAAGAGAGCTGACACGTGTGAGGTGGCTGGCCTAAGAGAGAATTGCAAAAGGTTTTGCATCTCCTAATCTGAAGGGCTTCCTCCAAGAAAGTGTGTCATTACTAGAGTCTGTGCACTGACACTGGTTTTCTAATGGGAGTAGCCTTAATGGGCTCAAAGCTGTGTGCCTCGGGAGAATGCCTGCCACAGATGAATGCAAATCTGAGCTCGTGTTCAGGTAAACAATAATAGCTGTTAAAATATTTCTTTGTTATTCATACCCACTGAATGGTTTTTCCAGATAGGTGATCTGTTACTGTATGGCAAGAAATCAGTTATACTTTTATCTGCCCTTCTTTTAAGGGGATGTTTATTATTCAGTAGTTATGTAGAAGTGCAAAAGGAAGATGTACAAGAGAGAGGATGTCTGTGGTTTGAATGAAAAAATGAAGCTTGAGAGAGGAGTTTTCTGTCTTTTGGAAGTACAAATTTGCTGCAGGTGCAACTCGAGTGAGCTGCTTAATCTCTTTGCATCTAATTTCAGATGGGATGCCGCAAGCATAGTTTAATATTTGTGAGACACATGTCCCAAGAGCCAGCTTTATAAGAGATACTTGGCTAAGTATCCATCCCAAATTATTTCAACAAACTTAAGTGCCCAAGTATATTTGTGTGTTTCTGTGTGTATCCACTGCTAGTTAAAAGGCAGTTTTAAAGGCACACCTCTGCAGCCATGAAGATTCTATGCAGATATCTCTTTAATTAATTGAGTAGGAAATTTTTCCTTTCCTATTCCAGTACCCTCTGCAAAAATAGACAAGGTTGATCACTGCATTAACCCTTTAGGAAATTCTGCCAGTGTGTGTGGGACAGAAGATTTCCCGCTGACCCAGTACCACTCTGAATCCCCTGTACTTTACCAGGAATATGTATTGTGGTACTGTGTTTACACAGTCGGGGACTAGTCCAGATGACCTCTGGAGGTCCCTTCCAGCCTCAACTACTTTGTGATAGTCTTGTCCTATCCATTATTTGTAGATCTACATAAAGACTGCTTTAATTTTTTGAGATGTGTCCCAGAATTCTCTTCTCTTTTCACAGTCATTCTTACTGTGGCACATCTTGCTGACACGTCAGGTAGTTTTGGTATATTATTTATCTTAGTGTGGCACTTGAGAACCTCGGTTGTGGACCAGAGTGCTGCTGCCTTAGTTGCTGTATAAACGTGAAGTCAGAGACGTTCCTCACTGTACAGAAGTTACCATTTTAAGTGAGAAGAGGAGAATAGAAGAACACATTAAGGCAGTATTATTCAGCACAGTTCAACAGAGTTGCAGGCCAGTGGTGTCTTTGGTATTGTCATATTTTTTGGGTAGAGGGTTTAGGTGTCAAGACAAAAGAATTCATGGAGAAGAGTTTTAGGGAAAATCATGATGTAATGTTGCAGATATTTCAATGGAGTTCATCTAAAGCGTGAGAAAAAAGCATGCATGTTTGAAATTAAACTATTAATGTCTTTGGCCAACTGAGTATGGGAGTTGGCACTTCATCAGGCCACAAAATGCCTTTAAAATGAGGACAGGAAGTTTATATTTGTTGCACTCAGAGAGTGGGAGGCAGCTAAAGGATCTTGAGAAAAAAATTACAAGGGTGAGAATAATTTCAGGAGTGTCTTGAAGCACCATGCTGAAAAGATATGAATGATCCAAGGCTGGGTTGGTCAAGGAAGAGAATTCTGGATACAGTGAGAATCTGGATGAACGAAGTCTCTTATGGAGGTTATGCATGAAGATGTGGAGACTTCTAGAATGTCAGGATCCGTGAGAAGGCTCTGTTTAAGAAATTACTTGGACAGTAGGCTTGACTGATGGGCTGAGTGTAACCTTGACCATGACCTGTGACAGGAGAGGAAGTGCTGCAGCATCTGTTTGTGGCTTTTTGGGGTTCTTTTTGCAGGCAGAGAATAGAATGCTGTAGAGTTAAACACCCACAGGGAAATGTTACAGGAACAGGATACTAAATAGAGAGGGAGATACAAAATGGAGCCTGAAATAAGGAGTTACAAGAGTTTGACTGAAGACAGTGAGTGATACGCCAAAGATGTTAAACTACAGCCTTGAGGACTCCCCACGTTTAGCTAAGGAGGGGATCTGTGAACGGGATACAGTAATGTTTTTCAAGCAGTAATAGTATCTTCTCCCAGACAGGTTCTAAGATTCCTGTCGTGACTTAAAATGTTGTTTAACAGACAGACCGAGCTACCTGAATTATAGTCAGAATCCTCTAGGACAGTATTTGATGAGAACATCTTGTGTGTTTATTCACACTGCATCTTGAACCTCCTCTGGCAGGGATCAGCCCAAGCCTAAGCCACAGTGTAGTTATAGAAGAACTAGCTCCTCTGAGCCTTGATTTAATGGCTGAGGTTGGAAGGGGACATCCCATACTCTGGGGAAGGAGGCGAAGTATTAGGAAGGTGATGTGAAAGAGAGTTCCACCGAGGAAATACTATTTTCTCTAATAGTGGCGAATTAATATTGCCTGTATTAAGCTACTAATCGGATATTGTAAACATACAAATGCATTAATACATAATTTCATTTTCCAGTGTACATCAGCATTCTGTCTACAGTTTGTTGCAGCCTGCCTGGTAAGAGTTTTTATTGTCCTTCAAATGCTTTTCCTAACACAGTTCAAAAAACTTGCATATTCTCACAGGGCATCCTTTTAAAACTTCATGCTTTTTGAAGAAAGAGCTTAATAGAATTGTAATACAGGAGGACAATCCTTTGCATTGTTGTTTCTGTTGTGCTGAACTCTGTTCTGTGGTTGCTTTATTTTGGGTCAAATGTTAGGCTGCTGTAATTGGGTTTATTGATTAGAATTGTTGCAATCTTGTATTTGTTTGCCATTCACATTGGTGATTTCTTTGTTTTTGTTTTTTCTTTTCTCCTTTCTAGAAAGATTTTCAGGAGGGCTACCTCACAGCCTAAAAATGGAATCTTTCAATTTTCAGCACATTTTGTCCTGGCAGGCAAAAAGTGATCCCACTGTGCCAACATACTATTGTGTACTGTACACTGACCACAGACAAATCTTGTAAGACACAAATTTTACTTTAATGTTTATAGACTCAAAATACTAATGCTGGGCTGTTCTTGTTTGTTTGTCTGTTTTTCCATGTATACAGGAAATGCCCAATGCTTTCTTCTATCAGAGAATCCAGTTAGATTATTTTGATCTTTTTTCAATTTGTTTTGATTACAGGAACTGGAAGATGGCTAAAAGATGTTCGGGTATTACAGAACTCTCCTGTGATCTGACAGATGAATTTAAAGATAGTTCCACTCAATATTCTGCATTTGTTCAGAGTTTCATAGGAACTGAAGTATTCAATTCTTCTGTACTTCATTTTGCACCTTTTACTGACAGTAAGTTCTCTGTCTGCATTTAATCATTTTAGTAGTTTTTATTCCTAGCTGATGTATAAATGATACTCTGCTAGCAATAACTAACTTGGTTGGTAGCTTATTCCTTTATCTAAGAGAATATGAATTTGTATGTCTTCTATCACATATCAGCTACAGGGCATAGAATATATAGATAGCTTTGTAAAACTAGTGGCTACAGTAGTTCTGAAATGGATGAGGCTTTGGTTTTGAAATAAAATATATATATAAATATAGAGGCAATAGCATCATGTCAAGCATTGACAATCACCAAATAAAAAACTCTAAATATATAAGATACATAAGTAAAAAAAAAAACCCCGACAAAAAAAACCCCACCACTGCTTATATGTCTTCAAGTAGCTGATGTTAAAGAGATACCATGTCTGCAGTAGGTGCAGGGGAAGAGATTTACTTGTTTGTTCACCAACCTGCTCTTTTCCCTTTCCATAAAGAAAGGAAGACACTTACTAGCTGTGACATCTTCTCATGCCAGAGCCGGCTTCTCCCTTAGTTGTGCTTAGTATTCATTTTCGGAAATAACAGAGGCAGAGATTGAGGATCAACTGGAGGACTATAGAGGAGAAACAGGTCATGTTACCTCTGAATTCAGCACAGAGGTAGCTGCTGCTGTGTCCACTTATAGTCTCAGAGATGATGAAAATTTGGAGAATAGCCACAAGGATAACTGAAGGATTTGGGAACATGGCTCTGAAGTGGAGGCCTTCACTCTTTCAGCAGTTAGATTAATAAAGAGAAGGATTGGAGGGTGCATTGACAACTTGTTCATATGATGTCAGGCTTCTTCAGTGTGGTAAACAAAGCATAACAGCATGCTCTGTGTGGAAGCTGAAGCTAGATGAATTTTAGCTAGGAACAAGAGGCATATTTTGAATTGACCACTGGAACAACTGTTGGGTGCTCTGACATTGTCTATCACTGACAATTTGTAAATTGAAATTAAATATTTGCAAGTAGTTCCCTAATTCAAACTATAAGCAATTGGGTGAAGTCATATTTTCCAAGGCACAGGACTTGGATGAACACCCTCACAGTGCCTGAACAGGAATGAATCAATACTCTGTGATATTTCCCTTCTGGGTGTAGTTGATATCTACCCTCAAATACCTACACGGAACCTCACTGCTGGTGACAGAAGGGTTTGAGCAAAGACACAAAGGCTTCTTAACAAACAGCTGGGAAAACAGCCACATGTGTCTGTAACCAAATCTAAGCTCATGTATATTTGTGTCTTAAAACAAATTATGAGAAAGGAGCAAGTGTGAAACCATTTCAGTAGAACCTGCTTTCCTGTTGGAGAGTAGAGGAAAGAGAAAAAACTTGACTTAAACTTTTTTTTTTTCTTTCTACTCTACTTCAGAGTAGAAGTAGTTAGCAAATGTAGATTGATTTTTAATTTTGCTGAGGTTGGCAAACAGTCTCCACCTGCATCAAAATGTACATGCTTCTGGAAAAGATAAAAGTGAAATGCAAACTCTAAATTTTCATGTTTCACACACATGATGTACTACGTGGAAATGGAGGATTATGGAGATAGTTTGTTCTCACACCATTTCCCAACATTCCTACTTCTTTCTTGTGTTGGAGGAAAGAAGATGTTAGGCTTGACTCACTATGGAAGTTCTCTGATCTTGACGGATGTGTAGTTTTGGAGAGAGGAGAGAATTAGTGTGCGTGGCTTTTCAAACACATACATCTGAGGACCTGAACTTGAGGGTTTACACTCACTGGAAGTCTCACAGAAGTGTAACTATGTTTTGCTAGGTCCTCTGTCCTGCTGTCAGTAGAGGTTTTAGCCTTGGGAGCTCAGCCACCAAGTTCAGACCTGTAGCCTTCCTTGCAACCAGCATGAATATACGCAGGGCTGCACACCACGGAATGTCTGCAAAGATTCCTTCCACGGACTGAGTAGATGATGATGATGAGCAAGAAAGTAATCAGCTTTTCCTATACATTAACCTCATCTTTCCTCTCAGATAAAAAGCTTACATCTCTGGGGAGCTGAAGCAAAGCATCTGTCACCTTTCTGCTTCTTCCTTCCCTTCCACTGCTGTTTCTAAAATCTAGTCGTGTGGAAAACGATTTGTTTGACTGTGGAACTTAAATGTTGCAAGGCCTTGCGGATTTACAGCAGTGACATACTCTGGAATTGAATTAGTCTGCTCTCTATCTGCCACCGAAATAGAACTGGTACTTGAATACATAGCGTATATTCTTCCATCTTTTTTGTTCTCTTTCTTTTTTCTCAATAGCGTACCTGGGACCACCAGAAGTTAATATCAGTTCCTGTCTGAACTGCATAAATGTGACCGTAAAGCTGCCAGCCTCTCACTTCAGAAAAAATGGAAAGCCACTGTCTTTACTTGATATATATCAACAGCTTAATTATGATATAACACTGAAAACCCTTGATGGAGAGCATAAGGTAATGAACTTTTTGTTTTATGTGCGCTTTAGGGGAGAAATACAGAAAGCATAAAAAGTCTGAGCCGGTTAGAAGGTTCCCAGAAGCAAATATGTGAATAGAAGATACTTAGAAGAAAACAATGGCTGACATCATCTTAGCTTCCTTTTACTGCTGAGTAGCAGGCCTAGAAGAGGAATACTGGTTGTCCTGCATCCTTACTTGAAATAAAGTATACGATGCTGGCTCAAGTGATTATTTTTGGGAAGACAAGGGAAAGGGAGTTTAGCAAAAACTACTAGCAGGTGTATGCACAGCTGGTAGGCAAATGTGTTCAGAAAGCAGTTTGGTAGTTTTCTGTCAAACTGGAAAAATGTATCCAATTAGTAGGATATTAGGCTAGATATTAGGTTAGAGCTTGAAATGATCCTCACAAAATGGGGAAATAAGATCACAGGAGATAATTCAAGAAGGACCAATGCAAGACATAACGCTTAAGAATAACTGTGCAGTAAGGAGGGTGGTAACAGCTACACAGGCAGCAGTTTTGCCAAAAAGGGGAAGAGCATTCTATAATATTGCACGCTAGACATGACTGACATGTTGCTGAGAGATTTTTTTTTTAAAAATCATATTTTTACGTGGTCAATACCTGTAAAGCCCACCTACCCCACAACTCTGGGGTTCAGAAAAGTGATGGACCAGTTGAGCAGGATACAAAAAGGAACAGTGAGGACTGTGGGGGACCCTGACCTGTGAGGAAATACTGGAATAATTGTGAACCGCTTAGTGTAAGCAAACAAAGCACAGTTGGAGACGAGAGTCTCTGAGCGTGTAAACATTTACTACAGAAAAGAAGGAAATAAACCACTTGCAGTGACCAAAAACAGCAAAGTGAAATTGGCAGTTGTGCAGACTTTAAGTTAAACATCAGGAGAGACATTAATACCTGGTCTGGCAAAGCACTGGAATAAGTTCCCAAATGAGAGCATGGGCTGCCTGTACTGGAAGTTTTGAACAGCGGGCGAGACAGGCACCTGTTGAGAACTAAATCTAACTCAGTCTGCCATGAGTCACAGAAGGAAGACCACAACTTGTCAGACATGGGTATTTTTCCCCTGATTTCTGAATCAGAATATCACTTGCAGTTTCAAATCTGTAGAATATATGTGAGACTACTTCAGGGGGATATACAGTGACCAACAGTTTGAGCCAGAGGCAATTTGTTTTTGATAAGATGATGCTTCACCAACAGGCGTAAGGTAGGCATCTTGACTCTAGCTAGACCTGAAGATGAAGCAGTTGTCTAGGTAAACGGCTGAGTTACTGTGTGGGGTTTTGCAGCTTTATGTGCTAGTGCGTTTCCCTGAAATAGCCATAGTGTTTTATTGGTGGCTGGGGATTGCTTTTTAGGCAAATAGCTAACTTTAAAACCCTGTATTTCATGGCAGAGGCCACGTGAGAAAACCACAGAAGAAGTTTTTAGTACTGTCATTGAAGAACTGTATCCAAACAGAAATTACTGTGTGTCAGTTACGGTCACTGCATCTCTAAACAAGCATTACATCCCATCAGCCTGGAAATGTGTAACTGCGAACTCTGTGGCTCAGAAAGGTAACTGGTGTGGTGCAGGAATTAATTGGCTGTCTGACTTGATTATGTGCAAGTTTTTTCTTTTTACATAGGAAGATTTACAAATCAATTAATCCTGAAAATAGTAAGAGAGAAAGTACCTTTTGAGTGATAAACATTGTGGGGTTTTATAAGTGAAATGTAAAAACCCATCCACTTTGGGGCTAGAAATCTGTTGTTAACCCTGTGAGCCACAGAAATCTCCACTAACTGCATAAATAGTTATCAAAGATGGTGTCATTTCTTTTTTAACTCCTGAATGTAATTTGAGATTTGGTCTTGTTTTGACTTTGGACCAGGTGACCTCCAGAGGTCTCTTCTAACCAAAATTATTCTGTGATTCTAAATAGCTGTTCTGAATGTGAAATATGAAATGTGGTCATTGGAAACCTCCTTCATGTATGTTTGTGTGTTTGTTTTCACTTGCAGATTATCATACGGTTGCAATCGCAGGTGCTGTATGTTTTTCGCTGATGTTAGCTGGTGCTCTGAAGTGTATGCATGTGGGAGGTTACATTCTTCGCAACAAATCACTTCCGCATACCTTGGTATGTAATAATTCACATATTTATCCTTTTTGCTTGGGAGGAGGAAGTTTACCATCTGAAATTTCTAATCCTGTGCATTAGGTACAAGATACCTAAGTAGCTATAATGTTTTAATTTGCAGTTTACTTATGTCGAAGGTAGTCTGTAGGCTGCTAAATCTTGCCTGTTCTGCAGAACAAATATTCAGTCTTCGTCAAAATCTTTTTTCATTTCTTGCTACAGTTGTAACAAGTCACTAACAGGAATATAGATGTGATCATCCCACCCTCCTTAGCACTTGTCAGGCCACACCTGGAGTGTTGTGTCCAGTTCTGGTCCCCACAGCGCAAGAAAGGTGCATACAGACTGGGGAGGGCCACGAAGATGAGCACAGGGCTGGACAACCTACCCTGTGAGGAAAGACTGTAGAGGTTAGGTCTTTTCTCCCTGAAGAAGGCTCAGGGGGTACCTCATTACAGTATTCCAGTACTTAAAGCACAGCTACAAACAGGACAGAGGCTCTCAAGACAAGGGGCAATGGGTACAAGTTGCACCACGAGAGCTTTCACCTCCGCATGAGAGAGAAATTTTTTCCGTGAGAACAGTCACTGACTGGAACAACCTCCCCAGGATGCGGCAGAGTCCCTATCACTGCAGGTTTTCAATCTGTGGTTGGACAGGGTGCCACGTAATCTCATCTAGGCTGCCTCTCCCATGAAAGGTTGGACCAGGTGGTCTTTCAAGGTCCCTTCCAGCCTGGGCTGTTCTATGATTCTGTGAAGTTAGAGGGGGCAAGCAGTAGTGAAGGGGAGATGTCCCCCCTACACACGCACCCCTAAAGTAATTTCAAATGAACTCTTTACACAGAAACAGCCTAGATCTTACAGCAAAGCCCAGTGTAGGACAATTTACGCCTTGCCCTTTGAAAAGTACCTTGCATGTAAATTCTTCCTGCAGCAGACAAATTTCATAGAATCATAGAAT